TGATGGGTGTATGGATTGCGATAACAGTTGTATGAGCCCCTAATAAAATGTTTAAAAAAAAAAAAAAGACCAACTCCTGGACATGGTGGAAGGCTGTCCTGCCAGACTTAGACCTCGTTCCCCTGTGCACCCCCTCGGGGAAGGAGCCCTGGTGGCACTGGGGATAACTGAAAGTTGAAACCCACCTCAGGAGAATGGTGAGGCTTTGGCTCCTGGAAAGACGTGCAGCCTGGGAATCCCACAGCAGTTGTTGTGCCCTGCCCTGTAGGGCCACGATGATGTAGAACCGATCCGATGGTCGTGAGTTTTGTTTGGTAACTCAGAGGTTCGCAGTGACTCCACCCCGTGCTCCCGGAGGAAGAAGAGGCTGGCTGCTCCTGTACGTTTAAAGCCCCAAAAACCCAAAGGGGCACATCTACTCTGTCCTGCAGGGTTGTTAGGAGCTAGAATCTACTTGATGGCTGTGAATTTTTTAAAGGTTTTTATTCTGTTAGTGGCAAAAATCCTGACAAGGGAACTTGTGACCTAGCCCAGGATTTAGGCGATGATGGACGGAAGTGGATAGATTTCAGAGAAGTGTAGAGATAACGCTGACAGAACACAGGTGTCTGATATTTGTTGGCTTTCCTAGCTACTCTTTGAAAGGAGAGGCTCTTTTCTTACTCTTCTGTTTACTTCCTTCAGAGCACTTACTTATCACGGTCTACAATGACCATGTTGACACACTTGCCTACTGTCAAGCAGAATGTAAAACAAATGAGGGCTGCAAATGTGGCCAGCCTTATTTAAAACAGCGCGCTGGTATTTTCGATGCACCTTTGAGGGGCAGTGGCTTATTGATGACTAAGGGATTTGGGCAGCACAGATGGAAAGCTGAGGGACACCAGGCCTGGAGGTTCCTTATCCAGTGACAAACACACCGGAGGCTTGAAGACCCCACATTGACCTCTGACCCTTGGATGATGAGCACTGGGTAGTGTCTAGGGGTCCAGATGGTCCTGGGGCCAGCTGCCCAGCAGCACTAACATCTGAGAAAGGAATCCTGGTGGCCTAGTGGGTTACACACTGGGCTGTGGGCCTTGTGGGCAGTTAACCACAAGGTGGGCAGTTTGAATCCACGAGCCATACCGCAGGAGAAAGATGAGGCTCTCGGCCTCACAGTCACAGCCTCCGGAAACCAAAGGGGCAGTTTGACCCTGTCCCATAGGGTCAGAACTGAGGGAGGAGTATCAGCATTTGAGAAAACCCGAGTTCTCCTTGTCATTCTCTGGCTTTCTGGTTGCTGATCCAGGGCAAGGAGTGCCTTCAGGGAAGAAAATAAGGGGCGCGCTGAACCCAGGATGCACCCTCAAGAACGTGGAAAGGGGTTAGTGGAATGTGTGACAAGATGTATGTTTAAAAACCTTGACGATCAGGTACCAATGGCCAGGTGGGCCCGGCTCGGGGGTGCAGCCTCTCCTAGGCCCTAACGGCGGTGCTGAGCTGGGAGGGCGTGGAGGAGACTTGTTGAATCGCCCCGGGAAAAGTAGGCACCGCTTTCCCCTCCCTATGGGAACCTTGGTCCAGCTACTTACCGGGAGATGGCCCTAAATTCCGGGCTCACACTCGAGTTTCAGCATACGCCCCGAAGGCTGGGGGAAGCGAGTGGCCGTGACTCGCGCCTCTCATAGCCTCCTGGGATGGGGCGGGCGTGGGGACGGGCAGTCGGTCCCTCTATCCCGGGCGCACCGGCAGCGCAGGTACCTGAAGTCCAGCTGCGCCTTTAAGACGTGAGCAGGAGGCTGGCCTTCGAAT